CTAGGCTCATTTCTCTCACTAACATCCCCATTTTCTAAAAACACAATATGTCTAGTTTCAACAATTCGAGTACAATTAGTAGGACAATAAAATCTAAACCTTTTTTTTATCGTTTTAGATAACCAATGAAATAACAACTTATAGTTTTAGAGTCCAATTTCTTTAATTGTGGGTTGAATATTTTAGCTTTTGCTAGACATCCCCAAATATGAAAATAGTTTAAAGTCGGTTTCCTACTAACTCATAACTCATAAGGAGTTTTAGGCACAACCTTACTACGAACCTGATTTAAAATATGCACAGCAGTCCTCAAAGCTTCACCCCACAAAAATTAAGATAAAGAGAAATTACATATCATGCTTCTTACCATTTCCATTAAAGTACGGTTTTGACGCTCGGCAACACCATTTTGTTCAAGTGTGCTTGGCATTACATAATTTGCAACAATACCGTTCTCTTTCAAATATAAGGCAAAAGGACTCGAATTTTGACCCGACTCAGTGAATCTACCATAATATTCACCACCTCTATCGGATCTCACGCTTTTAATCCGTCTGTCATGTTGATTTTCAACTTCAGCTTTATAGATTTTGAAAACATCAAGTGACTTAGAATTTTCACGAATAAGATATAAATAAGTATACCTAGAAAAGTCATCAATAAACATAATGAGATATTTATGTCCATTAATGGTTGAGATTAGAAAAGGTCTACATATATCAATATGAATTCTATCTAACAATTATGTGGTCCTTGAAGCACCATTCTTCTTAATCTTTGTGTACTTCCCTTTTATGCAATCCACACAAGTACCGAAATAAAAAAAATCAAGTGAATCAAGAATTTCGTCTTTAACAAGACGTGCCATCCTTTCTCTTGATATGTGGCTTAGACGTTTATGCCACAACATGGATGAATTCTCACTTACTTGATTTCTCTTGTTCTTGGTAACATCATTCATATTAAAGGATAAAAGAGACTGTGAATAATTTGAATCTAAATTCAATGAATAAATATTACCCTGTAGGGTACCAAAGCCAACCAAATGAGAATTATGGAATAAGAAACTCTATTATTTCCAAACTTTTATTCATAACCATTAGAATTAAATTTTGGAACTGAAATAAGGTTTTTAGTAAATACATGAACGCAAAGTGTATCTACTAAATCCATAATGAAACCAGTGTCCAAAATTAAACGTAAAGTCCCAATGGCCTCAACATCTATTTCTGTTCCATTTCCCAATGTAATGGCCCGCTCTCCTTTATTTAGTTTATTGCTTGTAAGGTATCCCTACATAGAATTTGTTATGTGAATATTTGCATTAGTATCAATCTACCAAGTGTTTTTGGTGGAACATCAACAAAGTATGATTCATAAGACATAAAGCATTGGGTTTTATCTTTCTTTTCTGACCAAGACTTAAAACGCTGACAATTTTTTCTCATATGACCTTTCTTATGACAGAAATGGCAACACATCTTATTATCTTCCTTTTGGACTTGGTGAGCATCAATATTAACACGTGTAGTTTTCTTACCTTTACTTTTCTTGAACTTCCTTTTACTTGGACCCCAATGGTGAGGTGAGCCATATCGGGTTTTTCAGTTTTGAGCCTCTTTTCTTCTTGAACACACATGACAATTAACACGTTCATCTTCCACTTCTCTTTCTGCATATTATAATTAATTTTTAATGGACCAAATTGGGTAAGAAAATAACTCATAATAAAGTGAACGAGAAATCCTTCAGAGATTTCCATGTCCATTCCTTTCAATTAAGAGGCCATATCATTCATCTTCATGATATGCTCATGAACACTACTTTGATCTTCATATTTCATTGTCATCATTAGAGTACTAGCAATAGATTTAAAAGTACCTAAAAATTGTTCTTCAACTGATTTCATATAGCTCATTGCATTATCAGAGTCAGAAATGGCTCCTTTAATTGCAGGCATAATTGAGCTTTTCATAATCATTAGACTTATACGATTAGAGCGCTCCCATTTTTCATATAAAGTCTTTTGTTCTATAATTCTTTTAACAGTAGGCTTTATGGGTGCAGGCTCCGGTAATGCATAGTTTAAATCCATACAACCGAGAACTATTCTACTATGTTCCTTCCATTTCTTAAAATTTGATCCACTTAAAGCCTCAATACCAGACAAGTAACTGGTAATTGTAGAAGGATTCATAGCTGCAAAGAAATAATATAATTAACAATATTTCATGCATGCAAATTAACACCATACCTTCAATAAATCTGACTAGAATCATAAGTAGATAGATATTATAAAATTAATAGTTTCACCCATATCATTATAAGAAACCAATAATATAATTGTAATTATTTCGTTGGGCCGAACTACAATATATTATTAATATACTTTCAAAAAATGAAAAGAAATAAAAGTGTAAGACATTAGAATCATCCTTACCTATGTCACCATATAAATGAGGTTGGTAAAAATGTAATACATAGCATATTCCTAATAGAATTATATCACCGTTGGGCAGAAAAACTCTAATATATTTTACATTAATCATAACATTCATTTAACCATAGTGATCCTCCGTTGGGCTAATCATAACTTTATATGGTTTAATTATTTCACAATGTTCATTTATTCATAGCATTAACCCTCCGTTGGGCTTATCAACACTACTTCAAAATTGAACATTTCATAATGTGAATAAAAAACAATTCTGTAATATATAGTCAACAATATTGAGCATTAATTGGGTTATACATAATCAACCATCAAAATAATCTATAGAGATACTCCAGAAATTCATATAAGTTTCATGTATTAAAATTGAGAACCATGGCTCTAATACCACTTGTTAGAAACAATAAGATATACTTTAACAATAATTGCCCATTAGGATTCAACTTTGATGCACAAAAACACCATGTATTATAAAATTATAAGTATTATATATCTTACCTTGATTCATTATGAGTAAGAGAATTTGAAACTTAGTTATGAATGCAATTGAACTTCAAGTCGAGCCAAAAGATAGGTTTCGTCTATTCTGAATGTTGTGTAAATATATAAGATCTTCAAACCACTTCTTTCTCTATAGTTAATGCATACTAAATGTGGTGTTTTATTTCACAAAATCACATAACGAGAGAGTATGGTTTGAGACCTTTATACATAACATTAGTCTTAGTCTTCCCATCAAAGACTTTAAAATTTACGTAAGAAAACCAAGAGTTATAAGACTTCATTAATTCTTCATTAACTTTAACTATTCATTCATTATTCATTAAGTGAACAATAATTTTTAGAGTTACCAAAGAATCACTTAACTATTCATTAAGTGACCACTAACTCCAATTCCATTAATGAAGTATTAATCGATCACTTAGTTTATTAAAAAATATATATGTAACTCAAATTACGTTATAAATGTATTCATCTTTACACTTTTGTTTTTTCATATACTAGGTGCACTTAATATTGGATCACCTTTTAATTAATTTCTTAAAACCCTTTTCTCGGAATTATATATAATATAATAATAATAATAATAATAATAATAATAATATAAATACCACGTTAAAGAGATAAATTTCTAACAAAATATATTTCACACCTATTTTGGTGTTGTTCGTCACGCCCAATGTGAGATATATTTATGATCTGGGTATTGTCTGTGCACACCTATTTGTCGTTCTTCGTCATGCCTGATGTGAAGTATATTTAGGATTTGAGTGTTGTGTAATTATAGCTAAATTAACCCTTATTTATATGTATTTAAAAAAATAGTTGGATAAAAAACAAGTTAAACTACTGCCAAAAAAAAAAAAAAAAAAATCTATTAAAAATACTCCGTTTGAGGACAAAATAGTTATTCCAATAATAGAAGAAATTCATCAAATATTTTGCTAATAGATAGAAAAACTCTTCTTATAAAGAAAAAAAATTTAGAAAGAAAAAACTTAAAATTTAACAAAAATAACTTTCCCAACAAATTATCTAACATGTTATGCCTGATAACTCGAATCACTCGACCTAAAGCTTTGCCAAATAATAAAAAATTTAAACATAAAAAAAATATTTTACAAGAAAACAGTGTAACCTTTCAAGACACTAACCTTAAAAAAATCTAAATTAACAAAACTGTCTCAACTATTACTTTCCAAATATTGAATCTTTACTAAAAGTTGTATCTCTCCAAAAATCATATCATTTCAAAATAATTATTTTAATAAGATCAAATATTTTCAAAAGTGTAAAACTTTTGTAAAAGATAGTATTCTTAAAATAAATCTTTCCTATAAAGCCATTTCTCTTAGGAATCTTTCCTATTTTAAAATAAAGCTTTCCTACATTGGTAAAATGATCTACTCTTTTTTTTTTTTTTCATAGATATTTTAATTCTTAAATTAAAATTAGAACTTAATCCTAAAAAGTTTCATATTTTATATTCTTTAAAGAAATCTTATTTTCTAAAATCTTATTTTCACTAATAAATATTTTCCTAGAAAAAACTATTTTCTTTTAGATTTTAGCTTCTTAAAGCATTCAAGTTTTCTTGTACACACTTAAATTACAAGATTCCTTAGAAACATTATTATTTTTAATATAAGTTTCCTTAGAAACAATTATACAAGAGACTGTCTATTAATTTTTAATTGAATAAAATATTTCTAAAGCTATACATATTTATCTTTTGGAATGAAATAAAGTAACCGTGTTTCACGCTGGTTTTTGTAGACTAAGTGGATGTCAAATACATTAGGGTTCAAATTAGACTTTTCGTGTGTCCATCTATTTTTCCAAAGTCCTTACACACCATAGGTGTCCTAGTACATCATAATCCTATATTAGGTGACAACTCCGATTATTAATAAATCGGCCTTACCTAAAATTAAATATAATTAGTTAGAGCCACTTTGCCACATTAAACCCATTTTCTGACCCATAAGTATTTATTAAACCTATTTTTTGAACCATAAGGGTAAGCCAAATGGAAGTGAAGGTCGTCTATTTCTTCTGCCTAAGTACAAAAAAATAAAATAAAAAATAAAAATAAAATAAAATTACAAATCAATCCAAACGGGCGGGGTCTAAAAAAATAAAATAGTATTAATAATACAAAATGGATACTCCAGGATTCTTCTGCCTATCGCTCAGCCGCCGCTCAATCCGACCGCCAGAAAACGCCCTCCGCCGCCGCTCAATCCGTACGCACCCATCCGTCCATGGCTCTTCGTTGTGTGCTTGAGAGGGTGGGTAGAATCGGTTACAACAATCATCTGAAGACAAAGATAGAGGGTGGAATTATCACCCACCAAGACCCGAAAGTCTGGTATTACCGCTTTCCATCTCTCTCTCTCTTTCTCTCTTTTCATATGTACATAAATATCTATTGCAATTACAGGGTTTTGACTTGGACGATGAACCTGATATCGATCGGACGGAGATCTTATTCGGTGGAATTGAACGCTTCTGTGGCCCTTTAGATGATCCGCTTCCTATAGAAGCCGCCAGTATGGCTGTGGAGCTACACAACAAGCAACAGGTTTAGATTTTGTTTTTGTTTTTGTTTTTCCAATGGTTAACTTCACTGCATTTGCTGCAATGCTATTTTAATTCGAGTAATAATAGAGAGTCCTACAATTGGATAAATCCAACTAATTTTATGTGGGTAGGGACTAATTTCATGATGTTGTCACCCTTGACTCACATAATTTGGACTCCTAATCATTTTACTTTCCTTTTAGTTCCAATATGAACGGTCTAATGTGCCTCTCCAACTCCTTCCCCCATCTCTCCCCCTCCCCTCTCTGTGTGTTTGATGTGTAAACTGCCAAACATTCACGATACCTGTTAAATTTATGTGGGTGGTTTATGATTTGTACTTTTCCTACTTTCTGCATATCTTCCGCCACAGAATTCAGATCTTGAGTTTGTGAGAGTGGTCAAGGCAAACAGACAATGGGTGGCTGGTGTAATTTGGTATATCACATTTGAGGCAACTGATAACGCTGGTGTGAAGAACACTTATCAAGCTAGGGTTTATTGTACAATTGAAAATGAATGGGGTTTAGAGGTGTTTAGGCTCGCTCCCGGGAGTCCTTCAAATCTGGTTGTTAAGCAAGGTAACTACTTCGAGACCTTCGTGTTTGTTTGAATTCGAGTAAAATCCTTCAGCATTTATTTAAATTATATTGTGAGATGTCATTTGTTATCATATATTATATTTTCGTTTCCTAGTATGTCTCTCTCTTCCTCTTTGGATAGACAGTACATTAGTTAATGGGAATAGGATTGTGAATCGTGTTCTACATAAACAAAATCACAAGATTATGACATAGTAGATGCAAGCAAGCATATGCATATTTTCAATGGGATTAATGGATGATGCAAGCAAGCATATGCATATTTTGTCATGGGTTTCTCCCCGTCATCATGCTTCAAGTAAATGTAGCCTTAAGCAAGTAGCATGTGAATTACAAGTCAGAGATTCTCCCCCTATGTAAGTGCATATCCTATATGTCTACATATCACGCACTGTGTATTGATCTATTACTTATCTAATTACCTAGATGTCACACATCACCTAATTCTCCCCCTTTGGACATCATCAAAAGTAGGGATGGCAATGGGGCGGGGCGGGGCGGGGCGGGGTGGGGTGGGGATCTCATTCCTCATCCCCATCCCCGGTCAAATTTTTTACCCCCATCCCCGCCCCCATACCCGTTTAAATTTCAACTCCCTCCCCCGTCCCAGCCCCGCCCCGCCACGCCACGCCACATTAGCCCCCATCCCCGCCCCACCCCGCTCCGCATAACTTTTTCTAATTTCCAATTTACCTTCAACAAAATCAACACAACTATAATATTTTTCAACCTAATAATTTTATAAAGCTTCAGCACAATTATAACAATTTAAAACATATCATTTCAACCCGATCAAACTTATAGCAAAACCACATATAACATTTTTTGGAATAGTCTTGAAATTTTCAACATGATCAATCAAAACAAATAACATTCTTCCAACAACGACTATGCTGCATGAGAATAGATCTAGGGTTTCAGAAGTGAATATATTATATATATAGCTATGTAATTTAGTAATATTTTATAACCTGTACGGGCAGTTTTGTAAAAATGCACTATAAGCGGGGTGGGGAGGGGCGGGGTTACCCTCCCCTGGCCCCGCTTCGTTCCCTGCTTGGGTTTCAAATAAAATCCCCATCCCCTCCCCATTTACACAAATGGGTCCCCAAACCCGTCATAATAAGGGCGGGGTGGGGCGGGGACCCGTTGGGTATGGGGATTTTGTCATCCCTAATCAAAAGGGTACGCATTCCCTAATTCTCTGATAATGATAACTGTACTTCATCTAATCCTAAGATAGATGTCATCTAATAATTATCCTAAGATACCCTAAGTGCTACACTTATTATATTTATGCTTCTTCCTAATCTTCAGTATCTTTTTCTTTATTTTGTATCATTATTCTATTCTTCATATGGGGATATGTTAACCTTTGAACAACTCTTTAATAAAATCCTACCTATAAAAAAAAAAAAATCTGTTCTTTATCTTATTTTGGCATTATTAAGCCAGATAGGATTATTTAAGGCTTCCCCCCTATATTACACTATTCATATCTAGTGTGTTTTTTTAAATTTGTTTCCTTATTGTCTAGGACTCTTCCTAGTTTCATGTGTTTTGTTATATGTGTTTGTCCTAAAGTGTTAATTTTAATTTTATATAAATTATCCTAATATCTTCTTGTATTTTCACAAGTTTCAATTACAATCCTAAGGTTCAAGAAATCTACCCTATATCCTAAAGTCTTACCACATTTTAAGGAAGAACACATTTTGCTTACCATCCCTTTCTCAGTTAGTTAGAAAGTTCAAGTGGATTATGTTTATCCTAATTATATCTCTATTGCATATTATGGAATTACATAAGTCATTAAATTTTGTTCATCTTTTTCTTATGTATTCCTAGATGCATTATCGTAGGTCAATTATAAGTTTTCAGCTAGGCAGGTTTACTTTAATTTCTTGACCTTACATTTGAGATTGTAAAATTTTAATTAGGACTGTGCTTTAATATATCCATTTTGAATCTACAATTATAAGACCAATATTTATTACTACTATGTAGCACCTAATGTCAACAAATTCCTAGTTCTTGTTCATGCATAAATTAGGTTTGAAAACATGAGTATAAGGCAAAATTTCATGAAACACAGATTCAAAATTTATAGGATTAAGCATAGAGAATGCAAGTAAATCCAATATATATGAAATAAAAATGCTATAGCATTCAAAGCGTAAGAGCATGTATAAGATTAACCATATCAGATACATAGCTTGTATGCTTGTGTATTTAGTTATCACTTCAGTTTTCTTATATTTATTGAGCATTAGTTTTTATCACCTTATTTTTGGTTATGAGAATCATGATAAAAATTTGAAGAAATGTTACCATATCAGGCACACAACTTCTAAATGGATTCTACGCAATTATAAAATGTTAAGTTTGTTTATTTATTTTTGGTTAGTGGTCGACTCAATGGATCATTCACAAAGAATATAATAATTTGTCTTGAAATAGCTGGCAATCCACTAGAGTGAAAACCATCACGAATATTAAAGAAAAGTAGTTAGAATATTTCTCACACAACTTATCAAAAAAGAAACATTGTACAATACGTTCTTCGAACTTCCAATCTTTCACGTAAAGAGAAACATTGTCAACTTGTTCGCTGCTGGGTCTGCTGCCCATCAGAATTGATGCATGTCCATTTCATTTGATCACTCTTCAAAACTCATTTAGTGTTGTGCAACGAAATTGTACGTGGGTCCCTGCTCACATGAATATAAGATATGAAATAACATTGTGATCAATCCCAAGGGGTTGGCTGAAGTGGGTAAGTCACTTGGCCCTAGTGCCTCATGAAGTATCAAAGTCTAAGGTTCGATTTTCTTGGGTGCAAACAAATTTTTTTTTTTTTTTTGGGGGGGGGGGGGAGGGGCTGGGGAGTATCAACTATCAACTAGGAAAAAAATGACATTGTGATCAATATGAATATTTTTATAATATGGGTTCCCACCAATCCTAACTACTACTCAAATGTTCATCCTTATATGTGAACAATAACCAACCAAAAGTGTTGTCCATTTGTCATCATCATATACATGAACTTCATATTTGACCATATATACATGCACTAGTGCAATAATTTGACAGTAAAGAACCCAAATGGTTCACCACATGTCACCAGTTAACCATTTAATGCACCCATATGCATATTCGAACTCTCATGTAAATGAATACAATTAACATAAGCAATGCCTACATAACCGTGATCAAACAGAACCCATTAAATCCGTGGCAGCATGTGATGTCCCACTTCGCTTGTGGGTAGAAGTTGCCGAGACTTATATGTGTAAATACACTTTAACCGTGTAGATGCATTTTGAGAAAAACCGTGAGCATTGAAAGGAGAGTGTGTAAAGCGGACAATATTTATACGGGTTTTGCGAGGGTGGTGAGTCTGGTGACAGATGTTATCAGAGTCAAACCCAGTCGGAAATTGGGGGAGGGGAGGTGTGCATAAGCCACGCGGGTCAGGCCAGCGAGGACGCTGGGTCTCAAGAGGGGGTGATTGTGACTTCCCACATCGCCTAGGGATAGAAGTTGTTAAGACTTATATGTGTGAACACCCCTTAACCATGTAGATGCGTTTTGAGCAAAACCGTGAGCACGGAGAAAAGAGTGTACAAAGTAGACAATATCTACATGGTTTTTGAGCGGGTCGTGACACAGCAAATGGGTCTCCAAACAAGTCTATCTAGGTTGCTTTCAAATGGGTTGAATCACCACTTGAACCGGGTCTCCTCCAAACTTTTACCGTGTTGACTCACTTTCTTTTCCAACAAGTTCTCCATGTATAGAATTCAAAATGGGTCTCCATTTTTACAAGGCTTTGAGCATTTACAATTTTAGAACAATTAAACAATTGAAATTATACAACAAATTCAAATCAAAAGCCATATGGAATCCAATACACTCCCCTCTCCCCTTTAGGTCTAGATCATGGGCTTATAGTGTTGGTTCTGAATCTTACATCAGATACATTTCTTTAAATTTGATGGCCTGGTGGATGCTGTTTTTTGCATGAATGAACTTATAGAAACTCAATTACTATAAAGAGGAAAAAGGGACTATAAATACAATCTAGGCTTTTATTTTTGTAATCTCGCTATTGGAAGATATTGATTTTTAGTTGTCCTTGTTACTTCTCTGGAATCTGGATAAAGTTCATCCAGAAATCCAATTGCATATTCTGTGACCTCTGTAATTCTTTTTTTTATTCTGAATCATGATATTCTGTGACCTCCATTTGGTAGGAAGGAAGAAAATTGGATGTAAGAGAGAGAAGAAGAGATTAATGAGATATCCCTAGGGAAGAGATTGTGTACTTCTCTCTTTTTGTTTGGTTAGATGGAAGAGAAGAGAATGAAATAATACCTTGTTTTGTTTGTTAGGAGAGAAGAGAAGAAAGTGTGTTAATTATAAGGAAAGTTTTATAATTTAAATTTTTTTATAATAGTCTTGCCTTTTTTCCTTCACGTCTTCCATCCATATTTGAAGGGATAAAAGTTTGTGAACGAGGAAAGATGACTCATCCAACCTTTTTTCTCTTCTCTCCTTGTTTCCTCTCTACCAAATGAAGGAAGTTTGCTTCTTCCTTCCTATCTTCCCTCCACCCCTCTTCCTTCCTTCCTCGTAAATGGGGCATAAGTGTTCATGTTCTTATGTGTGTGTGTGTGTTCGAAAATGTTTAGTTCACTAGATTGGAGGAAACTTCGAACAATTTTTATAGAACAATTGAATTTGTTTAATGCTAATATTGCTTATTGTATAAGAATGTCCTTAGATTGAAGACTGTAATGATAAGTTAAGAATCAACAAAGATTGTTGCTGAGGTGATAAAATGTTGGTTGAGATGGTTTATTCACATGCAATATTAATTGCAACATCATGTGAAGTGGTGGATTTTGATTTTCAAACGTAGTTTTCCGCATCGGCCGAGTCATAATGGATTTGGCCAAATCCAAGCATGATAC